TTTTAGAGTCTCCAGAATCTTCAGAACTATCATACCAAATCATGATCAGAAGCTCTAGTACTAACGTTATTTTAGAATCGTTGTATCAGAAGCGTTCCAGATTCTTGACTTGAATCTGTAACCACCATGTATTTTCTTCTAGAGTGATGAGTTCCGAGCCTGATGACTTCACACGCCTTTCTATCATAATCAGAACCTGTTTAATAAAAAGTTACACACTAGACAGAAAAACAGTTAGAGTATACAATTATTCTCTAAGATAACATGTGAAGATATCATCAAAACTTAAGGTCAGATGCAGAACCAGATATTGTTCTTATAATCTCCCCCTTTTTTATGATGAAAAACCCATATATGTTGATAGAACAATTTATACGGGTAATAACCAAAAATCACAAGTTCAAAACTTAAGCTAACCAGCTCCCCCTGAATCTGTTAAGCCCAAAAATTATTTATGCTCGTTCAAAGTCTTCCCCTGAGTTTAAGACATACAAAATAAATTTTGACGTACAATAAATGAGTTAGAGAAGGAATACTTCATTGTTGACGTCTCATTAGTTTGACTAGCATTGTCTGGTCTTCATCTCAGAGTCTGACTGACTATCAGAATGCTATGACGTAACAGACTAAATGTCTCACATTATGTATCATACATGATTTTTCAGAGTCTCGATCTTTTCCACCATAAGGTGTAAACTATCATGTCATTAGAAAATTTAGAGCTTTAGTTGTAGTATGATGACCATGTCTTGACCAAATCTTCAGAGGGTTTACAACTTCTGAAGAATGTGTTGCATTCCGAGTTTTGCTTATCAGAACAATCGTCATGCATTTTGATCATATGTTCTAATCTTCAGTTAAACTGTCTAAGAAAAATTAGTGAACTTTGATCATATAATTATTTTTGGGTTCAAGATTCTGATAAATATATAATCAAAATCATATAACTTCTCCCCCTTTGTCAGGAATCAAAAAGGAAAGAAATTATTAGCATAATTTACTATAGGAATACGAATAATAAAGAACAGAAGAACAATAAAATGAGGAATAAGAAATAAATAGTAAATTCAAGGATTAAAGAAAACTTTCATTCATAATGATTGAAGGAGTACAAAATAAGGGAGTACATAGACAAAACCAAAAAGAGACGCAAAGGATTACATAACAAAAACCAAACACAAGGAAAAACAACAGCAACAACCACACCCACCCAACCGAACTAGCCACCAACAACACACAGCTAAACTTCAAAACCTTGGCACCTCTCTTCTAAAAGAGCATTATCTGGTCCAGTTCTGCGAACCAACTCAACGATCTCAACATTATAGAAAAGTTCATACATAACTCTGTTAGAATATAGATTAGTTCTTAGTTATATCTCTATGTTTTGATGATAACACTTATGAAATTTTGTATTAAGAAATTATATACTCTAAATTTGTTCAAGTATTTTTGCTGCAGATATTAAATTCAATATTCTTCTGAAAGCAAAAATGGATCTGAATGTTGAACTACGCAAGGCTCTGAAGCGTCAGAAGCATCTCTTAAAAGACTCTGAGCACTGCCTACAGAAGACTCTAAGCGCTGTCTACAGAAGGATCTGAAGCAGAAGCTACAGAAGCATCTGAAGCGTAAACTGAAGACTTTGTATGAAGAGTTTCAAGCACTGTTTTTCAGAAGACTCTGATAGTACTGTTCGCTGCAAGTACTGAGGATCTGACCTCTAAACTCTGCTATGTTTAATCTCACGCTGAAGCACACTTGTTGCAACACTCTGATACAGCAAACTCTGAAGACATCAAGACTTTGATCACTCAAGGCTCTGATGTTAATTGTTGTGGATTAGAAACTTGTTGAAGAAGATTATTCAAAGTTATATCTGTTGGTTATGCCAAACGACTCTTTCCTCTTTTATGCTAGACACAAGAACTCAGGCAAAAAGGATTTCTCTGAACGTTCTACTTCTAGGAAAGGTCAAGTGATGTGAAGACAAAAGGCTACAGCTACTTTGCAGTACACGGTCTTCAAGCTTGCAACATCTTGAATTTCTAAGTCTATAAAAGCAAGCCTTCAACAACTTTCTTAAGTTGACGTACTTTGACAAAAATTCATTGAAAAGCTCTCATACAAGTTATTACTCTTTGCTGAATTTATTTCATACGTTCTTAAACTTAAGTGTAAATCACAGTTGTGATATAGCTTACTTAGAAGCATTTCAAACACTTGTTTAGTTTACATTTAATTATAAAAGTTTCTTGAGAAGACCAAGTTGTGGTCAGTAGTTCTTGAGAAGACTAAGATAGTTGTTCTTAGTGATTGATATTGTAATCAGTTGATTATAGTGGATTAAGTCCTTGTGAAGAAAGGCAAATCACTCTTGATAGGGTGGACTGGAGTAGTTGAGTTCAACGAACCAGGATAAAAATCATTGTGTTTTTATTGCCATAATATTTTCAAAATCCTTATTCAACCCCCCTTCTAAGTATTTTCTCACCTTCAGTTGGCATCAGAGTTCCGGTTCTGTTTGTGCTATCACTTCACCGTGAACAGAAAAGATCCAGTGAGAAAAACTCTTGATATTTCTTGGTTGATATTATGGCTGAAGCTTCAACATCCAACATCAACAACAGATATGAAGAAAGGGATAGAATCAGCACAAAACCCCCTATGTTTGATGGGGAGAAGTTTGACTATTGGAAGGACAGAATAGAGAGTTTCTTCCTTGGTTATGATGTTGATCTTTGGGACTTAGTCATTGATGGTTATGTTCACCCCACTGATGGGGATGGCAAGAAAATTGATAGAAAATCTATAATTGAAGCTCAGAAGAAAGAGTTCAGAAATCATCACAAAACTAGAACTATCTTATTAAATGTTATATCTCATACTGAGTATGAGAAGATTACCAACAGAGAAACAACATTTGATTTGTTTGAGTCTTTGAAGATAACTCATGAAGGAAACTCACAAGTTAAAGAGACCAAGACTCTGACGCTGATCCAGAAATATGAAGCCTTTAAAATGGAAGAATCTGAATCTATAGAAGTTATGTTCTCTAGATTCCAGATCCTCACAGCTGGATTAAAAGTGCTGGACAAAGGCTATTCAACTGCTGATCATGTGAAGAAGATCATCAGAAGCTTGCCCATCAGATGGAGACCAATGGTCACTGCTCTGAAGCTAGCTAAGGATCTGAAAAAGATCACATTGGAGGAACTAATCAGCTCTCTGAGGAGCCATGAAATTGAAGTTGAAGAAGACGAGCCTCAAAAGAAAGGTAAGTCAATTGCGTTAAAGTCTAACAAATCTGTTAAAGCATTGCAGGTGTTAGAAGAAAGCTCTGAAGAGTCTTCTTCTGAAGAAGAAGATGAACTGTCCTTGCTGTCCAGAAGAATCAACAAACTCTGAAAGCACAAACAGAGGAAGTTCAAGAACTTCAAGAAGTCAGATCAACGCAAAGAGTCCTCTGGACACAAAAGATCTGGAAAGAAGGAGGTTGTTTGCTATGAATGCAAAGAACCTGGTCATTACAAGAATGAATGTCCAAAGCTCCTAAAGGAAAAGTCAAAGAGGAAGTTTGACAAAAAGAAGAAGGTTCTAATGACAACCTGGGATGATTCAGATGAATCTGAATCTTCATTAGAATCTGAAGAAGAATGCGCCAACATGGCACTGATGGCAGGCGTGGAAGATCAGGATGAAGGAACATCTGGATCTGAATCTGACTCAGAAGAGGTACTTTCTAATCTCTCTAGGGAAGAACTTATTGAGGTTTTATCAAAAGTCCTGAATAACTATAACCAGATTAAGCTCAAATGCAAGAAGCTTAAATGCAAACTTGAATCTGAGAATAGTCTGTTAAAGTCAGAAGTTGCTGAGCTTAAAGAAAACAATTTAAAAATGAAAACCAATTTTGAAAAAGCTCAACAAGACTCTGAATCTGAAACTAAGTCAAAATGCAAAAATATTTTAGAAGAATATGACTATAGTTTTCAAAAGTTTCTGGCTAAAAGTATAGATAGAAGCAAGATGACTTCAATGATCTATGGAGTTAGCAGAAATAACAGGAAAGGAATTGGATATGAATCTTCCTCTGGAAAGGATTTAAATCCAATACCTGTTGATAAACTTATCATTAAGAAGACTCCCTTATATTCTCATTTTAAGTTTGGTCATCTGAATGATATTAAACACACACGTTCTGATCAGAACGTTCCTGTGTTTAAACCAAAAGCTAGTCAGAACAAACCTGTTGTAAAAAGACAGAAGTTCAGACAAACAGATCCCTCCATATCTCGTTACCATCCTACAAAAATCTCCAAAGCCACTTTGAAAGCAACGCTAAATTGAATTTTCCGACGTGTTTTATCCCAATTCCACCACTTTTCTTTGATTTGCATAGAGAGTTCCAACGAATCCACGCGACGCTTCTTCTGTTCAATGACCTAGACCATAGAAATTTTTTCTATAGGGCAATGATCTTCTTCACAACTTGCCGTGGAACCTTAAAGAATGATAGATGATGAATAGGTAGATTGGAGAGGACAAAATTTAACAAGACAACTCTCCCCCCAATCGATAATAGCCTTCCAATCTATGTTGACAATCTCGCCCTAAAGCATGCTATGACAGACTTCCAAAACGATAGCCTTCTCTAATTACCTCCAACTACCAGTTACATGACCTTAAAATCTGTTTTAATAGTTAGCAAATATTTATTTAAATATGTGAAATAATTATTTATTATACTCATTACTATTGTATTTTTTTCTTACAGCTAATACTCATTACTATGGTAGACTTTAATAGGAAGACCAAATCTAAGGTCTTCATGTATTAAATTGCAGTTGTTTCGATCCAATTTCTAAGAAACATCACAGTGCGTGAAAACTAAAATCAAGACTGGGGAAGGATTCAGTGACTTTGAAAAATGGTGACTTATCAAGTCTTTATCTTCATCTCACCATAACCAATCCTATTATTCACACTATAGCGCAAGAATGAAACCTCTTTTTCAACATTCTTTCTCCATTATTATTTTCCTTTTCTCAGTAGCACTTTTGATGATCTCAATCATCAATATTCCAACATGTCTTTGCGAGGATGATAACCAATACACAAACTGCAATAACGCTTTTACATGCAAAAACAGCAACATCTCAAATCTCAACTACCCGTTTTGGGGAGGAAACAGAAAACAGTTCTGCGCTGGTATTACTGGTGATCCTAACACAGAGCTAACATGCAATGGAGGTGTCCCAAAGATCACAATAAAAAACGTCAAATACAGTATTCTTGAATGGGACAATACAACACAGAAGCTCACAGTTGCTAGGGACGATTACTCGAGTGGTAATGTTTGTGTTATGAATAACAATCACGAGAACAGCACATTTGATAACACACAGTTCAGAAGTTACGGAGATGTTGCTAACGTGACGCTCCTGTACGGTTGTGATGTTGGAACTGGAAATTCACCAAATCTCTTTTATGATATTAACTGTGGTGATGGTAAATATGTTTTATATACAGTGGTTTATTCAGCTTCGTACTCATCCTTCTGTACTCCTAGTGTTACTGTCGTGATACCGATTTTGCAAACTCAAGCTGCACAACTTGGATCTGGAAATGGAACAGTGAATGATGCTTTTAAAGATGGTTTTGAGTTGAAATGGAACGGAAACTATGGGAAATGCGAGGTGTGTGTTGATTCTGGTGGAGTGTGTGGCAATAATGGTGGAACTGATTTCAGATGTTTCTGCAAAGATGGACGGCAAAAAATTTCATGCACTTTAGAAAAACCCTCATCCTCGCGTATGTATATATTATTACTTTCTCAAACTCACTCTTATTTATGTTTCTTTTTAGTTAGTTTCTACAACTACCGCCATAAAAATTATTGTTTGGAATTGTTTAGATGATAGTTGGTAGAAGATAGTTTTAGAGAGTAGTTTAGAAAGAAAGTTTTGTGATTAATTTCTTGGATGATAGTTTACAATGTAGCAAATGCCTATTTATAGGCTCAAGTCACCAACCTTTCAATGGTGGTGAATATTCTAGAGTTCTCATGATAGGTTATTATCATGATAAATCTAGATTTTTCTATCTTTGCCATATACTTATATATCTAGATTATTCTACCATATTCATACACCTTATAGTTTCTAGGATGTTCTATATTTTCTTACATATTATATTTAAGAACTCTCTAGAAATTTGTAGCAAATTTAACACTCCTCCTTGATACAAATTTCTTTGACTCCAAGCATAGCTCGTAGCTCTTCAAATCTTGGTCTCGGCAACGCCTTCGTGAATATGTCTGCAATTTGATCTTCTGTTCTGCAGTAGTCGAGTTTGATCTCTATAGTTGCTTCAGCTTCTCTTATAAAGTGATACTTGATTGCTATATGTTTTGTTCTACTGTGATGCACTGGATTCTTTGCCATTGCAATTGCTGATTTGTTGTCGCAATTGATTTTAGTTGGTTGATCCTGTTTTTCTCCCATGTCTTCAAGTATCCTACAAAGCCATATAGCCTGACTCGTTGCTTCAACAGCTGCCAAGTACTCTGCTTCTGCTGTGGATTGTGCAACCGTAGCTTGCTTCTTTGACACCCAAGAGAAAATTCCTGATCCGAGTGAGAAAGCATAGCTAGAGGTGCTCTTCATGTCATCTACCGAACCTGCCCAATCACTATCGGTGTAGCCAAGTAATCCTGAGTTAGTTTCGGTAGAGTACCATATACCTAACTCTTTTGTTCCTTGTAGATATCTCAAAATTCTTTTTCCTGCTCCAAAGTGTATTTGACTTGGACTTTGCATGAATCTTGATAGAAGACTTGTAGCATACATTATGTTTGGTCGCGTAGCTGTCAAATATAGGAGGCTTCCAATTAAACTTCGATATTTGGATGCATCAGCTTCTGGTGCTCCATCATTCTTTTGTAGTTTCTCATTTGTTATGAGTGGGGTAGCGACAGGTTTGCAATCGTACATCTTGAATTTCTTAAGTAAGCCTTCTGTGTATTTCTTTTGTGAGATGAATATCCCTTCACTTCTTTGGCTTACCTCTATACTGAGGAAGTAACTCATCAAACCAAGGTATGTCATCTCAAAGGTCTTCAGCATGTCTTCTTTGAACTCCGTTATCATCTTAGTATTGTTTCCCGTGTAGATAAGGTCATCTATATATAGAGAGAGTAAGAGAGTGTACTGACCTTGAGACTTGATGTATAGTGTGGGCTCACTCTTGCTTCTCCTAAATCCTTGATCCATGAAATATTGATCGATTCTGCTATACCATGCTCGAGGAGCTTGCTTCAAACCGTATAGTGCTTTTCTTAGTCTTAACACTTTGCTCTTTTCGCCTTCAGATATGAATCCTTGTGGCTGCTCCACATAGATCTCTTCTTCAAGTACACCATTGAGGAAGGCAGATTTGACATCCAGTTGATGTATACTCCATCCTTTTTGTGCCGCAAGAGCTATTAGAGCTCTAATGGTATCAAGACGGGCTACTGGTGCAAATGTCTCATTGTAGTCAACCTCAGGTTGTTATGAGTAACCCTTAGCTACTAGCCTCGCCTTATGTTTCTGTATGGTGCCATCAGGATTGAGCTTTTTCTTATAGACCCACTTAACCCCAATGATATTTTTTCCATGGGGACGATTTACTAACTCCCATGTGTTATTTTTCTCGATCATCTTTATCTCTTCTTCCATTGCCTTGACCCATGCTTCATGCTTTGATGCTTCTTCAAAGCTTCCGGGTTCGAGTATGGCCATGTTGCAGGTTTCATATATGTCTCTCAAAGATCTTACTCCTCTTGGAGTAGACTCTAGTGATGATAGTTCTTGAACTTGTTGTTGTGGTGGAGGTGAAGAAGGTTCACCTAGGACTTCTTCCTCAGCTTCTTCTTGAGGTAGTTGAGTGGGTATAAGAACATTCTTCTCCACTTTTTCTTCATCCCAATTCCAAGAAGCATTCTCATCAACTTCAACATCTCGACTGATGATGAGTTTTTTTGTTTGCAAATTATATACACGGTAGCCTTTAGATATTGTGCTATACCCCAAGAAGATACCTCGTATAGTCTTGTCTTCAAGGTTATGCCTCTTCACGTCTAGAATATGAATGTAGCATATAGATCCAAAGACCCTTAGGTGCTTTGCTGATGGCTTCTTCCCGTTCCAAGCCTCAATTGGAGTCTTATCTTGTACAGATTTAGTTGGACATCTGTTGAGTAAGTAAACAGCAGTGTAGACTGCTTCAGCCCAAAATGTGTTAGGTAGTCGCTTCTCTTTGAGTATCGATCTAGCCATCTCCATAACTGTGCGATTCTTTCTCTCAGACACACCATTTTGCTGAGGAGAATATGCGACTGTAAGTTGTCGCTCTATGCCTTCATCCTCACAAATTCTATCAAACTCGCGGGATGTGTACTATTTGCCGCGATCACTTCTTAGTACTTTTATCCGCTTTCCACTTTGATTTTCAACAAGGGCCTTGAACCTTTTGAATACTCCAAAAAATTCTGATTTTTCTTTCAAGAAATAGACCCATGTCATTCTAGAGAAGTCATCAATGAAGAGTATGAAGTACCTGTTGTTCTCTTGTGATGGCGTCCTCATCGGTCCACAGACGTCAGTATGTATCAACTCCAACAGATCTTTTGCTCTCCATGCTCCGCTTGTTGAAAATGGAAATCGGTGTTGCTTACCAAGGAGATATCCTTCACACACTTCATTGTTATCCTTTATGCTTGGAAGATCTCTCATCATGTTCTTATCATGTAACAACTTCAAGGCATGTGTGTTGAAGTGGCCAAATCTTCGATGCCAAAGCCATGAATCATCAACTTGTACCTTCATGGCAATGTTAGTTGTATATTTTAAATTTAGCGAGAAGCTTCTATTGCTCTTATTCATCTTCACTTCGACTATCTCGGCCCTTTTATTCTTGTTGTCTAAGATTTTGCATACACCTCCTTCAAAGTGAAGTGTGTAGCCTCTCTCCATCATTTGGCCAATGCTTAGAAGATTTTCTTTTAGACTGGGAACTAGTAAGACATCATGGATGAGTCGCGTACCTTTATCTGTCTCTACCACGACGATGCCTTTTCCTTTTGACTCAACCACACTTCCATTTCCTAGTCGAACTTTGACTTTGACTGACTCATCAATGCTTTTGAAAATAGTCTCATCGTTGGCCATGTGATTGCTATATCCACTATCCAATTACCAACTTCCTCCTTTTTCTTTGATTGATTCTTGAGTGGCATAGAACATACATTGTTCTTGATCATGCTCCTCTGCGATATTAGCTTGATGCCTATTTTTGTTGCGACATTATTTCTCTATGTGCCCGAATTTCTTGCAACGACTGCATTGTGGCATATTATGGTACCAACAACTTTTCTCCTCGTGGCCTAGTCGTTTGCATATATTGCATGGAATATTTTTATCTGGATTGTTCTTTTGGAAATTTCTAGGAACTTCTCTTCTATTGGAAGTTTCACCATAATTTTTCTTTCCTCCATTTTCTTTATTTTGGGACTTAAATTTGAGCTTTGATTGAAAGGCATTTTCAAGTGTATCTTCTTTATGCCTATGTAGTCTTTGCTCATATGCTTCAAGAGAGCCCACTAGTTTTGTCACTGATAGAGTAGACAGATCTTTGGTTTCCTCTATTGTTGTCACGATTGGGTCAAATTTTGGGGGCATAGTAATTAGAATTTTCTCAATAATTTTCTTGTCAAGAATATCCTCCCCAAAAGCTCTCATTTGATTAACTATTTCTTTAACTGTCTCAGACTCCTTCATCTTCAATAGTTCAAGATCTCTTCTTAGAGATTGAAGTTTGACAGCACGGACCTTGTTATTTCCTTGAAACTCCTCCTGCAACGTCTTCCACGCTTCTTTTGCAGTCTTAGCTCCCATAATTCTTGGAAAAATTGCATCAGTCACCGCTTGTTGCAAGGTGAACAATGCCTTTGAATTTTTCTGTTTATTTTTCTTCAACTCTTTTTCTTGAGCTGCATTTAGAGCTGAAGTATCTATGGGAGCGATGAAGCCTTCTTCTACTATGTCCCATAAATCTTAAGATGAAAAATACGTCTCCATTTTATCACGCCAGAAATCATAATTTTCACCATTGAAAATAGGGACACAAATAGTTGATGATTGAGTAGTGTTATCCATGGCTTAGAAAAAATATTGTAGTGGGTTAATAGTATAAGGGAAATATTTTGAAGTAGTTTGGAGGATTTTGAAATGGTAGGTATTAGTATAACTACGCCCAATGTATGACCGAACGTAGCTCTGATGCCACTGTTTGGAATTGTTTAGATGATAGTTGGTAGAAGATAGTTTTAGAGAGTAGTTTAGAAAGAAGGTTTTGTGATTAATTTTTTGGATGATGGTTTACAATGTAGCAAATGCCTATTTATAGGCTCAAGTCACCAACCTTTCAATGGTTGTGAATATTCTAGAGTTCTCATGATAGGTTATTATCATGATAACTTTAGATTTTTCTATCTTTGCCATATACTTATATATTTAGATTATTCTACCATATTCATACATCTTATAGTTTTTAGGATGTTCTATATTTTCTTACATATTATATTTAAGAACTTTCTAGAAATTTGTAGCAAATTTAACAATCATCATGAGAGTGTTAGATTCAGAGTATGTAGAAACCATATGATTTATAGTTTATCTAAATCTAACATTGCCACCCCATAAATACTGTTTATTGATTCAATGATATGATGTTTATACTCTCCTTCATCTTGCTCTTATTTCTTGGTTCTTATTCTCTTTTTCAATTCTACATTGTTTCCTTGCTCTTGTTCAGTTTTTCTTTTCTGTTCCATGTGGTCCTGATGGGTTAATATGTGGGGAGAGAAACATTATATTCCACTAAAATCTTAAGGCAATACCTGCACGAGTCACTATCATTATATAATATATTTATTTTAATTAATATTTATTTTCATTTGAGAGATAAATTTTTTATTTTTTAATATAAAAAATTAATTTTTATTTTTATTCTCCTTTTCACATGTTATTTTTTATATTGTTATTTAATACACTTAAATTTATATGATCAACATTTATTTTATAATTAAATAATTTATTTAAAATTTACATGTCCATTTAAATACAATTTATACTGTATCAAATAAATTTATTCGTGCTAACTATCAAATAAATTTATTCGTGCTAACTATCAAATAAATTTCAAGCTAAACTTATATTTATATATGTTATTTTAATTAAAAATTACACTTATTTCGATATATGTTCACAATTCAATATTAGTTCAATATATGTCTAAGACACTGTCATGTATATAGAAATTGAATCTGATATAGATTGATAATAAACAAAGGCTACTATTATTTTTTTAAGCTTATATCTTTGAATTATAGATAATATTTAACTAATGTAATGTAACGGTTTTATGTCTGTAGCCAAAAAACAAAAGATTCAGGGTTTGCTAATATTGTCAAATAACTCAATATTCGATATATTTGATCTTTTTATTCCATACATGTTTACCATAAAATTGTATGTTACTCTATTCTCTAAAAAAGGAATCATGTATAAATATTATTTTAAAAAATTGAAAGTCTAAAATTTTGATCATGTATTTGAACCTTTTCACTGTAATGTTCAAAATGTGATTGAAATACTTCATAAAGTTATACAAGATATCATCTGTTAGATTCAAATAAATAAAAATCTGCATAAATATTACTTTTAATATGCATTTGAATATACTTTTTTTGTGAAATTTAAATTCGATAAGATTATACTTTTTCTCATACCCGTGCGTCCGCACGGGTCTTCTACTAGTATTCCACTAAAATCTTAAGGCAATAGTTATACAGTACTTTTTCAAAATATATTGGGATTTACGATTCACATTTATTTCTCTTCAATCTCTCCGTGTAAAAGAGATGTTAGTTCATGATTTTCGGTATAAGGAACGGGTCCTTTATTCGAACCTGACTATGTAATAGAGATGACTCAACATGAAAGGAAAAACATTTACCTAAAAATCAAACACTCACCTAAATAAGTAAAAGAGACACATTTTACCAAAAATTTTAAAGTAATAGGTTATGGATCCTCTCAGTTATAGAACATTCAATCTTTACTTTTCCGCTTAGAAACCATCTTGTTAGTAAATGCGTGATTATTCTAAGATCTATGTAATTTGAATTTTTTTATTGTAGGTTCAATAGTGAAGTGGAGGTTTATTGTGATAGGTAAGAATAATAATAATCAATATCACATTCTGACATATCAGTGCTACTCATCCCACATTATGGTGGCATTAAATTATTGTTTTTTTCTAAAGAAATTGATGAACATTAGTTTTTTTCTTCTTTTCATAAATTCAGGTGCTGCAGGATTTGGAGTAACAATGTTCTTTATTATTATTACAGTTTGTTGTTACCTTAAAAGGGGTATAGGTAGACAAAGTTTTTTCAGAAAAAGAAGAAAACTTGTTGATCATGTAGAGGTTTTCATGCAAAGTTATAATTCATCTCTGCCAAGAAGATATACTTATATAGAACTAAAAAGGATCACAAACTCATCCCGAGATAAATTAGGTCAAGGAGGATACGGTGTTGTGTACAAAGCAAGTTTACTTGATGGTCGTCAAGTGGTGGTGAAAGTAATAAATGAGTCAAAGGGAAATGGAGAAGAATTCATAAATGAAGTTGCTAGCATTGGTAGAACATCACACATGAACATTGTGTCACTTTTAGGCTTTTGTTATGAGGAAAACAAAAGAGCATTAATATATGAATTCATGTCCAACGGATCATTGGATAGGTTCATCTATAAAAGTGAATCTCCTAATGCTATTTGTGATTTTGATTGGAACACTTTGTTCCAAATTGCAATTGGCATTGCTAGAGGACTAGAGTACTAGCATCATGGATGTAGTTCAAGAATTCTGCATCTTGATATCAAACCACAAAATATTCTTTTGGATGAAGATTTTTGCCCAAAAATATCTGATTTTGGGCTAGCTAAAATATGTCAAAGGAAAGATAGTATTGTGTCAATACTAGAGAGAAGAGGAACTATAGGATATATGGCGCCAGAAGTATTTTGTAGAGTATTTGGTGGAATTTCTCACAAGTCAGATGTGACAGTTATGGCATGTTGATTCTTGAAATGATTGGAGGAAGGAAGAACTATGACACCGGAGGATCGTGTACTTCTGAAATGTACTTTCCAGATTGGATTTATAAAGATCTTGAACAAGGTAATACTAATAATACACTTTTAAATTGTTTGACAGTACCAGAAGAAAATGATATGGTTAGAAAAATTACTATGGTGAGTCTATGGTGCATTCAGACAAATCCTTCAGACAGACCGCCCATAAATAAAGTAATAGAAATGCTGCAAGGACCACTCTCATCAGTGTCATGTCCTCCAAATCCGTTCTTGTTTTCTTCTGAAAGGCAACCACTGCCGGTAGAATGGATATCCTCATCTGATTTGAATGAGACAAATTCAATTATAGAATCAAAATAATTGTTTTATCTATTTTGAATCAAATTATTAGCTCTTCAATAATTAACTTTTGCATTAGTTTCTTATAGTTCAAAATCAATTTTATATAATCGTAGTGGCTAAATTACTGCAAACCAGCGTCGTGTTACTTTTTGTCTTCATATATAAATTTAACTATTTCATTTGAGAATTTAATGTTAAGATTTATTTGATATTTATGGGCTGCAATTAATTGTTATTTTGCTTTGTAAAAGTGAATTAATCATAATTTTATAAGGCTTTGTGAAAGTGAATTAATCATAATTTTATAAGGTACATAAATAGGCTTTTTTATTTCTTTTTTGTGGAAGAATGATATGCAATGCTGATGAAATGCAAATGCAATGGTATGCAAAAGAATGCAATGAGATGATGCATTTTTTAGTTTTCTCAGGTACAAAGTTTCATAAGTCTGAGGTACAGATGGAAGATAAGGCTGACTTCTCGCTACACAAGGATCTCACCATGTAGGATCTAGGGTTTAAACAAGAACCCTAGAGTCATGGATTCACATGAATGTTTATCACGCACGACAGAATCATGCTGGTTGACAACTCCATCAAATGAATCTATTCTGGGTGAGGTCTTTATACTGACCTACGCGAGAAAAGCTTCTCGGAGACCTGCACTATGCGACCATCGACATGGATTCTAGAAATGGGTCTCAGAGTCATTGACTTCCTTGACTGTTTGTTGCGCATGTCAGTGATTTCAAGGCAACAACTCCATCAAGAAAGTCTATTTTGAGTGAGATCTTCGTATCGAATCACGCGAGAAAAGCATTTTGAGGACCCGTACTACGCGGCCATCAATCCTAGTTAGCCAAAGGTTCAAGGTTCTATAAAGGTCCTTAGAGTAGTGGATCCAAACAAAAACATTGATCACTTACGCCAAAAGCTTGATGGTCGTCAATATCCTCAAAATAATATACTCTAAGTGAGGTTCTCGTATCGACTCTTACGAAAATCTTCTCGGGAGCCCATACTACTCAACCTCTCTTATCTCATGTTTTCACTCTAGACTCGAGTAGAGATTCTTTCCCACAAGGTTTTAAGCGATAAAAGTATCCATATCAAGAGCTCAAGAGATCCAAGAAACAAATACAAGATAATAACATAAGATATATACAAAGGAAAAAGATAGAAAAAAGTGAATAAATAAAGCGAACAAACATACTAATTCTAACTAAGTTAGGCTTGAGTCTCTCGTGCTTTGAGCATTCTCCCCAGCAGAGTCACCAACTTTCGTACCTCGAAAAATACGACCCTTCGCGATAGACGTGGAAAAATTAGTTCGAGCATAGTCGCCACCGAACTTTATTCATTCCAATGAAAGAATATGAAAATATCGATAAAACCTCTAAAAATAGAATAATGGTCATCTCAACCATATCCGGGTTCGGGATTTGATTACGCAAGGGGAATGTATTAGCACCCCTTACGTCCGTTGTACTCAACGAGAACCTCTTAGTTTGATTTGCAATTGAATGTTAACTCATGTTTATTTGCTTTCTCCAAGTGATAAAAAGATGTAAAAGGAAAAGAAAGGAAACCTCAAAAGGGGAAAATGAGGTTTTTTATTAGTGTGTTTGCCAAGGAATGGGGCCCTTGTGCCTATGTATCCTCATTGTGAAATGAGGAATTAGAGCATTCGTATTTCTCCGAACTACGGTTTGTTGGTTTGTGCTTTTTAATGAATAAGTGTTTAGATCGCGTTCTAAAGGTTGGGAATTGGCTTGTCTACTCTCGGGGGAGGCTTAAGCACTAGTTTGTATGCATGTTAGAAGTGTGAGGACAATGTCTCATATACTATACATGTGTGTTTCGATGATGTCAAAACGCAACCGCATGGAAGAAGTGATTACCTTATCCTACATATTTCACTTGCTTGCATCAAACATCTTGAGTATTGCATTGAGTGTCGTCATATGAGTTAAACATCTTTGGTATGTTAAAGGTCGCATCTAGAAGAGTCATAAATAGCAAAATTGGCATTTTTGTAAAAATCAGGTCTTTGAGTCGACCGCTCATATGCTCCCGTCGACTCATAAAAGGTGTCTGCAGAGTGCATTTCCCACGGGTTGGCGCACGTCGACCTCCGGTCGACGCATACTGATAACATTTACATTTGTCTAAAAATACAAACTTTGTGTCGACGCATGGTCCTGGTTTGGTCGACGCATAGCCTGTTACTTTGCCTAATCTGTTCTGTCTGGGGAGTTCCGGTCGACCACTTCTTTTTTGTATGGTCGACCGGTCGCTGCTTTTCTTCATAATTTTGGTCTTTCCACTTATTTCGAAAAGTGGTTTTGTCTGTTAATTTTTGGCATACTATAAATAGAAAGTTGCTCATTTTCATCAACAACAATTGAATCAATTGCAAAACAAGAAAAGTGAAAGAGGTGTCATTAGTTCTCATCATCTTCATCTTCTACAATTCATACCACAAAAATCACACACAATAATCTTTGTTGGCAGGTTTTCCTTGAATAAAACCTTGAGGGTTTTGTCCTCCAAGATTCACTGAATTTGGGGTTTTTTGGTACGAATCTTCTCAACATATATTCAATTGAGCGAAGGTGATCGAGGAGCGGTGGGTTCCGTCGATCTAGTAGCGAGAATCGGTGAATTGTGAAGGAGAGGTTCGGGTTCGATTAGCAAGTGTTTAATATCAGTCGGGCTAGGGTTTGAAAACGCAAGGTTGTTCAACCAAGGAGCTATAATCGGAGGTTCATCCACAAGCAATCGAAAGACTTGATTCGACTCAAATCAAGGGACAAGAAGAGAAAGCATCTTCAACAACAAGGGAGTTTGTTTGTGCATTTGCTTGTCTATTATTGTATAAACGATTCAAAAATAGGTTACATTTATATTATACGAGCTCAATTCTATTGTTAGAATTGAGGGCAGACGTACCCCGAAGCGAAGACGGCGGGGGAACTGCCTCAACAAATCTTTGTACCTTTACTTTCCGCATTTTCATTTTGCTTTATATTTGCGTGAATTTAGTTCAAACAATAATATCGAATTAAGGACTGTTGAGTAAGTTTTAAAGTAATTTTAACTATAGTACAATAGTTTATTGTACAAGGAAACTAGTGCTACTTACTCAAGGCCGAAATCACTTGGAGTGCTCCGCACGCCAAGTGTTTGATAAATTGTCTGAACCAAAATTCTCTTGTGTTGTCCAACTATTTTGTTGGCATATTAAGGCATTGGAACTAGTCATACCAAGTAGTGATATAAATCAATGGATAGTGTGACTAGCATAGTGATTCTCATTGCTCATTTCTCATTATCAATTTCCAAAGGCTAGACGCATATCCGGTCTTCTAGTAACGGTTCATTATAGGCGGTAATTTTTCCATGGCCGCTTCCGCAATTTAAACAAATTTTTTAAAACCAATTTTATTAGTAGCGCCGACTGATTGTTTTAATAAGGGATTTATTCAACCCCCTTTCTAGATTCGTGTCATCGTCTAACAAGAAGGGACTTAATAATGTTCTTACGCAAAAAGGTGTTTGATCGCACGGGGCGAGCAATTAGGTTTTGAAAGGTTTCAACCGCACGAGGGAGAAAAAAGATAAGTTGGATGGGTTGATGTTGATTTTAGGATTTTAAAAAGAATGTTATTTTTTATTCGAACTGCACTAAAGACTATGAGTGAAGGTGAATATTTCAAACAACCAAGCCAAGCGTCTTGAGTTCAAAATACTTAGAGTGAGGGTAGGAAAGCTCCATTCTCTCTCCTTCTCCAGTATTTAAAACTCGTGGCGTGCAATTCTAATTGAGTTTTAAAAGTGTTTTTAAGTTTATTGAGAAAATGATATTGATGTTGGATCAAGGGTTTTATTGAGAAAAGATGAGGTTGAAAATGGTTTGAGATTGAGATGGGATGCTTACTAAAGAAAAGGGCTTGGTATTGACAAAATTGATTTTGAAAATGATTGTGGAATAAGTTGATTTTATTTTATTTACAAAGGCTAATGGGTGTTAAGAAATTGATTTCGATTTGGAAAGGTTTTTGTGTGATTTTGAAAAATGTACTTGATGTTTATCAAGTACCTTTGATTTTAGTATTTTTGAAAGGTTAATTTTTAGGGTCATAAAATAAACATAAGTCTCCTTAAATACTACTCTAAAATAACTATCTAAGAACGGTTGACTAATCCTATGGTGACACGTCTTAAGTCCCTATAGTGGTTTCTCCCAACGCGTTCCCACGTGTTTCTGAATAACCGTCTATGTTACCTTTATTCTTGGCTTGTTGCTTCATTTGAATATCCTAACTACTTTGTTGGGCGCCAAGAACTGACTAGCCATTTCGAGGCCTTTGACATCGACCATGTTAAGGCAACACACTTTGTGGTATCATCCATTATAGTGATGAACTCCACATGTAGCGCCCAAGTCAGGTTTGTTTCCATTATAGAGATGAACTCCACATGTGGTGTCTGGGTCAACATAGTTCTTTTTGTAGTGATGAACTCCAACTTTAGCCAACATAGCATAATACTCAATCTCACTAAGTCCTCAAGCTCCTCACAATGTCCTTCGACCTCGTCACATTCGACCGGTATCACTTTATGTGACCTTTGACCTTGATTCATATTAGTTTTCATGTGGACTGACTCTATTTTGACTTTTCACGTGGCATATTTATGGCTATTCTCATTAATACTTTCCACTTGTAGTTAAGTCAAATAATCCGATGTAACAAATTTCCCCCCAAAAGGCCATGTTTCGATTTCCATCAATCACGAGAGACATGCCCTTTTTTATTGAAATTTTTCGACGCCATTTCACTTTTGTTGACGTCATCATTGTAACACCCATTTTAATTATTTAGTCTTTTTGGTGTGTCCTTGTGTAGGGAGTGTGTCTGAGCGCGTTGGTGGGTGCCATTAATTGATAAGATTATTTTATTAAGCCATAGAGTTAATATTAATATAATATAATGAATAATGATAATAATTTAATAA